TCGGGATTCTTCTTCCAGAAAAGATTGGGCATCCACACGACCTGAAAAAGCACTTCTTTCCATGGAATGGAGTTCAATCCTGCGCGCCTATCTTCTCTCTTCCTTTTCAACAAATCCAATGATGCTCGTGACGATGCTCGCTACTAGGGAGGTAGGTATTGTGGGTAGCTAGGTATGGGTCGGTGCTGCCCCGCGAGCGCCATCCCCGCACAGACCAGCTCCAAGACCCCACCCTTCCCACCCTGGTTGTCGTCTTGAGACAGCTCTCTACCTGACAGCACCACCTCTCGAGTCAATTCCTCTCTAGCACCACCATCAAACGTCACAAAGCAAGCTTCCCCCCCCCCGCGAGGTCAGCACGAATTGCTGCTCTTCGCGTCGAGCTTTCGAAGCTTCCACCACGAATATCCATCAGAGACAAGCAGCACGGCGACCTACTCCACAACCACGGCATCGTCAACCCCACGCCCACAGTACGCAATCACTCTCGACAACAGATCACCCTCGACAGAGCCAGCAACAGAGAAAAAAACAGCCATGTCCGCCCAGACGCCCCCTCTCCTACTGACGAAGCGCCTCACGGCCTTCCTCGCCGCAAATCTCTCACCGACCCTCCACGCCGCCCTTCTCACAACGCCCTCCGGCAAGCTTCTCGCCCACGCCTCGACACCCTCCGTTCCTCTAGCCCCCGCCCCAGCGCCCGGAAGCGGCACCACCACCACCACCACCAACAGCAACACGTCGACGACGGCGACAGCAGCCTCGCCTACGACGACGACGACAACCCAATCCGCCTCCCCCGTCGCCCTGCTGCGCACCCAAGCCACGGTAGCAGCCTCCCTCTACGCCCTCCACGCCGCCGCGGCCCCCGCCCTCGCCCCGGCGCTCCCCGAATCCGCAACGCCGACGTCCCTCTCCTCATCCTCCGCCGAACCCGACGCCGCAGCCCGCCCCGCCAAACCCCTCGCCATCACGGTCCAGCTCTCGCACGGCGTGCTCCTTATCCGCAGCTCAAGTGCGGCCTCCTCTTCGTCTGCATCGGGCCCCTGCCCGGAGGACGCCACCGGGGCTGCCGCCGCCGCCACCGGTCCGCACGCCGACGTGGCGGTAGCGGCCTGACCCCCGCGTCGCCCGATGACAGGGACAGCGTGCTCAGCGCCGGGCCGCGACGACGGTCAGCGTCGCGAGCAGCGTCGCCGGCAGCGTGGGCGGCGCCGCCGTCGTCGCGATGCGCAGGCAGGCCGAGGAACTGGCGCGGTGGCTGGATGATAAGCTGGGCAGCCTGCGGGTTCCGGAGGAGGGCGTTGGCGTTGAGTAGAGTCGCTGCTGTGCCCTTTCGTGAGCACGTGAGAAAGCTTTGTGAGATCGGTGGGTGCTCTATACTGGCCTTTTGATGGGATGTGAAATTTGAGATTCGGATGAGAAGAAGGAGAGGACTATAGGGGGACGGCGTTTCTGGGTTGCGGAGATACCCAAAGACGGGGGTCTAGCTATTTCAATGAATGGGAAAGTCATGTCCAAATCCCCTTCGTGACTTGACTCAATTCGCATGCGTACAACAAGATGATGCGTAACACGAAACCGACGATTCCATAAATCATAAGCAGAGTGGTATTCGCTATCAAAAAGACTGCTTTCAGCCATACCCGGTAATGCTGTCGGATACCAAGGCCCATGCCGAGTCTACGCAGGGGCTTCATGAGCCCTCCTCCGAAATGGTCCCAAACGCCGTACGTAGTATAGCCAGCAAGCAAAAAAATCACGCGAGGAAGCAAACCGCCTCCTCGTAGATGCCGATCAAAATGTAACACCGCCACTGCCTCTCACTCGATGCTCATACGCATCAGATGGTCGTTCGTATCTACCATGCCCTGGAACCCTACTCGTCCCTTCCCTCCATTCAGACGGCCCCCGTTCCCCGGCGTGCCGCTGAGACTCCCGCTCCCCGTGTCGCTCGCTGCCCCGCTGCCGCCCCGATCAGCCCTCTCGCCGCCGTTGCTGCCCGGTCGAGAGCCCCACGGCGCGCTCTCTCGCTGCCGCGGGCTCTGCATGATGGGCGAGTTGTGGACGCTCATGCCAGGGCTCACGGCACGGCGCTTGAAGCTGACAGGGTCAAAGTCGTCCTCGCGGCGCCGCTTGCTGTTGATGCGCCGGGTGATTTCGGCGGCACTGGGGCCCTGCTGCGACTGCTGTGGGAACGCGGGCTGCGAGATGTTGGGCGTGTCACCCTTGGTCGACTCGCCGCTGCTTGCAGCCATGGCGAAGCTGGCGGTGGCACCGAGAGAAGGCGAGTCCATGTTGATGTCTTCGCTGATGCCGGAGGAAGAGCCGCGGGGGTTGAAGGACGGCGGTGGCGGCGTCGTCCGGTTGCCGATGCTGCTCGACTCGGAGAACGTATCCCAGAACTTGGCACCCTTTGAATTCTTGATAGCTTGCTGCTTGAAACTACTGGAAAGGCCTGCCTGGTCGGCGTTCATGTTCATGTCTTCACCGGGCACTTCGTCGATGTCCTGGTTAACCAGGTTGGGCGAGGACTGGGCGGTGGTTGTTCTAGGTTCGAGGTCGACGTCGCTCTCGCGGACCTGTCGTATCACCTCACGTTCGCGGAGCACCTCGGTCTCCACAGGCGCACTTCTAGGGGCGTGCTTGGATGCGGGGCAAAAGTTTTTTTGTCTTGGGGCTGTGCCAGGTGCATCAGCAAAGGAGAAAAAATGGGAAACGTTTCAGAGGAAGAGGTGTCTTACCCATGAGATTTTCCTCCCCGCGCGGCGACCTGCCGCATGATGTGTGCCGCGGCTTCTGGCCAGAGATGCCCATGACACCATTGATACTGTCGCCGCCCCATTCTGTCCTCGTCGGCGCTCGAAATGTGGAGTTGGTTCGCCTGCCAACTGATGCTCTCGCGTCGTGAATGGGACATGGGAATATCCTTGGCAATGGGCGGTGACTTGGAGAGCGCGCCAGGCGAGGCTGAGCCGAAGCCGAGTCCCAGGGCCCTCGACTCTTCTTTCTCGGCTGCTTCCGTGGGCGCTGGCGTTGCTGGAAGCTCAGAAGGCTATTGACCGCTGGTGAACCGAGCGGTCCGCCGGTTCGGTTGACCTGCGGTGTCGTGACGATTGCGTCGTCCATGTCCTCGTCCATGTCGTCCTCGGATGAGGAATCCGAGGCGAACGGATGGGCGCTGCCCAAGGAGCTCGATATGTTCATGCGTTCTTGGTTGCCCATCATGGACCAGAGCGAGTTGGACAATTGCTCGGCGTTGTTGTAGTCGTTGCTTCGTCGCTGGGGTATGTTCATGGCGCGGCCGCCGCCGATGGTCGGGAGGAGTCGGGGGAGGACTGTTCGGCTAGGGTCGAGTGGTGCAGGCTGGTGGCTGCGCGGGAGAAGTCGAGGCCGCGGGAGCGACGGGGCAGGATGTTTGTCGGACTGGCATACGAATGGTCGAGCTTGGGGGATAAAGGTGCTGGCTTGGTGAATACGGCAGAGGCGGCGGCAGAAGGCGGTGGCGGAGAGGCAAAGTCTCGCTGGTGCGGCGGCATGTGTAGTGATAGGCCCTTGGGGTTAAAATCAACGCGACGGGGCGTGCTCGGGGCGATTGCGGTGTCTCTGATGTGGTTGTCGTCCTTTGATGTCGCCTTGCCCGTCGTCTCGAGGATGAGGGGGGATGGTGACAGCCTCGCAGGCGTGCCGCCGCCGTCGGAGAGAGATCGCAGTTTGGACAAGGGCGACCTGGTCACGGTGGTGGTACCTGCTGCTGCCGCTGGTGCTGCAGCCTGGGCCATGTCTCCACGGGCGTCGAGGCCCAGTATTTCTGCATCGTCCATGACGGCCTCCTCGTAGTCAATCGGCTGAAAACTCGGCCGGTTCATCATGATGGTAATTTGCGAATGTCAGCCGTGGGCCGCGTAGCCAGCACGGGCGGACGAGATGTTGTTTCGAAAGATCTGGAACAAGGAACGAGATAGGTAGATGGCTCGTCCACTCCAGCTAGATAGATGGGCACACAAACACGGCAGCGCCGAAGATCTCTCGTGTCAGGCGTTTGGTGATACAGGGCTTGATTCGAGAGTATTCGTAGACGAAGTTGGCATGATTGAAACTCTGGCGCTTCAGAAAGACTGGCGGAGGGGAAAAAGGAAGGAAGGAAGGCATGTAACAGAGCAGAGGTGGGAGTCGTCGAGTGACGGCGGCTAACTCTGGGAACGCCCTGGGGGACTTGGGCCTCTACGTAATGTGCCCGCAGTGGTATCTACCTACCTAGGTATAGACCTAGTCACTGAACGCGCTGCGCTCTCCCCGCCATCGTCCTCCCTGGCCCACATTGCCCATCTCAATTACCATCCTTTGACATGACCTCTTTGCCTTTGTGCTGTGGTCAGAACGGCATTCTCGGGTGGCTTGATCATCAAGGTTTCCCTGTTTCTTTTCGAGAGATTTGCGGTCGGTTGTGGCCTTCCCTGTCTCAGCCAGACTGCTTCGAGCGACCAGCTGGACTCCACTCACACATGCCGAATGCGGTCATCGAGACCAGCCAATTCCCATGGAATTGGTCGTGCTCTTGAGCCATTGGGGGATTCTTGCAACATCCAGTGTCAAAAGTCGCTCTTTTTCTTGTACCTATCCCGATTTTCTAAATACCTTTTTGCGAGGTCCCCTTTGGGAATCCAGCCCAAACGCCGCTGTCATGCCATCATTTCCTCTCCACCTCGCCGTCCTTGTCTACCGCCCAGGAACACATCCATGACCTTATACGGACAACTGGACGGGCTTGGTCTTGGCAATGTACTCCTTGTACGGCGCCAGCTTCTGCGCGACAGGTCCCTCGGGTCCAAAGTAGCGCTCCACGATCTCAGCGGACCGGCCTGTGAACAGCTCAGGCTTGAGCATGTCATCAATCTCGTTCCAGACGGGCTTGAAGAACTCGGTCCTCTTCATGCGCTCAATGAGATCGTTCTGCCCGCCCTGCTGCTTGACAACGTCGCTGGCCTGGTGGGACAGCACGCGAACCTCCTCGTGCGCATCCTGGCGGGACACGCCGTGGGTCGACAGCTTCATGATGATGTTCTCCTGCGAATTGTTAGCCACCTGGTAGTTTTCTCATATCAAATTTCGACAAGGCCGCGTAGGCGCCGGCCTCGTACTGCCAAGTGGATACCGCAAAGGTACTGCCGCCCAATGGCGTGTTGAAGGGAAAGGAGCAGTATGACATACGCTGGCCATGAAGGGGAGCTCGGACATGACATGGGCATGGATACGCGCGGGGTAGATAACGAGACCATTGGTGACGTTGTCCATGGTGTTCAGGATGCTGTCGGCGAGGAGGAACATCTCGGGGATGTCCATGCGACGGATGGCCGAATCGTCAAGAGTGCGCTCGAACCACTGAGACGCGTATGTGTTGGCAAAGTTGATGGGCAGGCTCATGAGCTTGCGGCCGAGAGAGGCAATGCGCTCGCTGCGCATGGGGTTCCTGGGCTTGTCAGCAAGGGGTTGCGTAGGACACAACGAGACATGCTGTACCTCTTGTAGGCCATAGCACTCGAACCCTGACTATGTGTTAGCGCGCAAAGTCGGGCATGGTAGTTTCTTCCGTCAGACTCACAATCTGGGTCGACTCAAAAGGCTCCTCCATCTCCTTCAGGTTGGCAAGGTGACGGATGTCACCCGTGATGCGCTGCACAGTAGAACCAATGCCGCAAACGGCGTTGGCCACATTCAGGTCGACCTTGCGGGAGTAGGTCTGCGTAGAGATGTCGTAGCACTGAGGGAACCCGAGCTTCTCGCAGAGGAGCTCGTTGAGGCGGTCAATCTTGGCGGTATCGCCCTCGAACAGCTCGACAAAAGAGGCCTGCGTGCCGGTGGTGCCCTGGGCGCCACGGAACTTGAGGTCGGCGCGCGCGCGCTCGAGGTTCTCGAGGTCAGACACGAGATCCTGCGCCCACTGAGCCAAACGCTTGCCCTGAGTAATACTGGGGTTCTGTCAGCGGATAATGTTTTCGAGTGCTACAAGTACAGAAGCTGTAGCCACTCCGGTATCGCAGCAAGCCTACGATAGAACGGAGACTGTCTGACATGAACGTAATTGACTTACAGCTGCGCAGCCTGGTAGTGAGTGTAGCCCAGGCAAGGAACGTCCTTCCAAGCCAAGCCGGTCTGCTGAATGTTGGAGATGACCTTGGCGAGCTTGGGGATGAGCAGGTCAAGAGCATCGCGCATGAGAATCAGCTCAGCACCGTCGGTGACGTAGCCTGTCGAGTGCATTAGATTCCTAGTCAACCTGCGTCTCGTATCGGCCTATGCTTACAAGAAGTGGCACCAAGGTGAATGATACCGGCAGCCTCCTTGCCAGCATCGATACCATAGGCGTGGACGTGGGCCATGACATCGTGGCGGCGGATCCTCTCCTCCTCCTTGGCGACAGCAAAGGCCTCATCGGTGATCTTAATGTTGGCCTTGAGCGCTTCGAGGGCACTGTCTGTGATGGCCTTGATCCCGAGCTCCTTCTCGGCGGCGGCGAGGTTGTACCAAAGGGTGCGCCAGGTCGAGATGCGGTTGCGCTCGGAGAAGATGGTCTTCATCTCCTCCGAGGGGTAGCGTTTGCTTAGCACCGTGCTGTATGTGTCGTAGCCAGCCATGATGAGGAAATTGGTTGGGTTCAATTGCTAATTGGAGTCGAGAGAGTGCTATGAGGTGTGAGTTCAACTGTCACAGGCTGGCGATCTCAAAATATTTTCCACTGCCCATTAAGCGCTGCCCGTAAGGTTCCGATACCGTCCGTCACTGGTAGTGGACTGACATGGATGGCGGGGTAATTTGGAGGGGTCGTTTTCATGGGGCAGGCGGTGTACGAGATAGCAGATAGAGCGGCAGAACGTCAGTCTTTATGCTGAGGTAAGCCGCTCAACAGTATTGGAGCTCCAGGAAGCACAGTGTATGTATGGGTGCGCAATTGATGCGATGCCAATGATTGCGTGGAACATCAGCTTTCGGATCGTCAAAAGAATCGTAAGGGCTGTTTCACATACCAGTCAAATGAGCGTAATGATCATGAGTGGCGGCGGTCTGCTATCTGTTGCTGTACCACCAGCTCATTGCGGGGTATCCGCAACGGAGCTACAGCCCTTCACGTCATACAAACAACCAAACTCGCGCCCTCGGCATTGTGACCCGAACAAGAAGACAGGACCCTCCATTTCGCATCGCACCTGGAAAGTTGCCCACTATCCACTCAATTCTGCTGTTGAAACCACTTCATAGCAATTCACGACCGCTACTACTACGTACATGTTCTCTCTTCGCGGCCTGCAACGACTGCGTCTCACCCAAGCTCACCTCAACAAATCCACCATCCACACAGGTCGGTCACTGCCATCTCACTCACGCTGATACCTATAAGGTCCCTAACAACAAACTGCAGCGCAACCCTTTCGCAGGTTCGCAACAATGGCAGGCACCACAAACCCCAAGAACTACAAGTTCAACCACTCCATGTAAGCCCACCTCCGATCTTGCGCACGAACCTCTCCCCTCCTGACCACCCCCCGAGGATTCGCGTCAAGGACCCCAAGGCGTCGATCAAGTTCTACGAGCTCCTCGGCATGACCGTCATCAAGACGATCCGCCAGCCCGAGGCCAAGTTTGACCTCTACTTCCTCGCCTACGACTCGCCCAAGGCCGTCTCGGCAGGCGCCTCCGTCTTCGACCGCGAGGGCCTCATCGAGCTGACGCACAACTACGGCACCGAGGACGACGCCAGCTACACCGTCAACAACGGCAACACCGAGCCCCACCGCGGCTTCGGCCACCTCTGCATCGCCGTCGACAACATCCAGGCGGCGTGCGACCGCATCGAGAAGGCGGGCTACCAGTTCCAGAAGAAGCTGTCCGAGGGCCGCATGCGCCACATTGCCTTCGCCAAGGACGCCGACGGCTACTGGGTTGAGCTCATCACGTGGAACGACGTCGCCGCGACCGAGGGCATCACCGAGACGGACGTGTCGACCTACCGCATGAACCACACCATGCTGCGCGTCAAGGACGCCGACAAGTCGCTCGCCTTTTACCGCGATGTGCTCGGCATGGACCTGCTGCGCAAGAACGAGTCCAGCACCTTCACCCTCTTCTTCCTCGGCTACAACAAGGACGGCGACGGCACGGCCACGCGCGAGGGCGTGCTCGAGCTGACGTGGAACCACGGCACCGAGAAGGAGGCTGACTTCAAGTACCACAACGGCAACGATCAGCCGCAGGGCTTCGGTCACATTTGCGTCACCGTCGACGATCTTGATGCTGCGTGCGAGCGCTTCGAGTCGCTGAACTGCAACTGGAAGAAGAGGCTGACGGACGGACGCATGAAGAACGTGGCCTTCCTGCTGGACCCCGATAACTACTGGGTCGAGGTTGTGCAGAACGAGAAGTTCACCGGAAAGGATAACTTCTAGGACGTTTGTCAACGGGGGGCGGCGTTAGGTGAAGCATTGTGATGGTGGCAGGCTGGTTGTTCAATGAAACGAGGACGAGGAAAATCGGCGGCGTTAGTTGACTTGTGAGAGGCAGGCGAGTCATTGAAAGTACAAATCGAGCTTTGGCGATTCTTCTTCAGTGGCATAGTAACGACCATGTCGGTTTATATTAAGGAAAGCTATTATTCATGCATCACCTGGTCACAGCCAGGCCACCTGTTTTATATACTGACCGCCCCCCACTCAGGCAACAGTGACCGTGGTGTTGGCACGGAAATCAGCGCTGGAGCTACCGACCAGGATGCGGAACTCGCCAGGCTCAACGACATACTCCATCTTGGGGTTCCAAAGACCCCATTCGCCGACGTCGAGCTCAATCTCAACCTTCTGAGTCTCACCGGCCTTGATGTTGACCTTCTTGAAGCCCTTGAGCTTGATGTTGGGCACGTCGACTGAGGCAACGAGGTCCTTGATGTAGACCTGGACAACCTCCTTGCCGTCGTGCTTGCCCTTGTTCTCCACGTTGACGGAAACGGTGATCGTCTCGTCGGCGGAGGGGGTCTTGGTCGAAACCTCAAGACCGGAGTAGACAAACTCGCTGTAGGAGAGACCGTAGCCGAACTCATACATGGGAAGAGGGCTGTTGAAGACGTAGTTGCTGCCGAAGACAAGGGTGCCGTTAGGGTAGATGCGACCAGGGTTCGGCCAGCTGCGGGCCGAGTTGAGGTGGTCGTAGTACGCAGGTGCGGTGCCGATGTCGTAGGGAAAGGCAACAGAGAGCTTGCCAGAGGGGTTGACATCGCCGTAGAGAATATCGGCCAAAGCGTGACCACCCTCTTCACCCTGGTAGAACATCTGCACGAGAGCGGCGGCCTCCTCAGAGATCCAAGGTTCGGTGATGGGCTTGCCAGAGCTGTAGACGACAACGGTGGGCGTGCCAGTCTTGATGATCGCCTTGACCAGACGGGGCATCATGCCGACGAGCTTGAGGTCGGAAACATCAATGTGCTCACCAGTCGTGGCGTTGAGACCGGCCCAAAGCTCATCCTGGTCGCGAGACCAGGTGCCGACGACAACGACGGCAACATCGGCGGCCTCGGCAGCGGCGATGGCCTCAGGGAACTTCTCATCCGAGTTGGACCAGCGGTCACCACTCTGAGTGAAAGTGACGGTGCCCTCGCTGGCATCGCGGAGACCCTCAAAGGGAGTCACACCACGGGTCATGGCCTCGTGAATGACGTAGTCACCGGAGTTGACATAGCCGTGACCCATGGGACCGATGACAGCAACGTGAGCCTTCTTGGAAATGGGCAGCACATTCTCGTGGTTCTCGAGCAGGACAATGGATTCGGCATCAATCTCGCGAGCCAAGGCCTTGTGCTCCTTTGTGTTGATGTAGTCCCAGTGCTCATCCTCGTCAACAGCGGTGTAGGGGGTCTCGAAGAGGCCAGTCAGGAACTTGGCGCGGAGAACTCGAGAGACAGCCTGGTCAAGAGTGGCAATGTCGAGTTTGCCCTCCTCGATGAGCTCAGGGATGTGCTCGAAGCTGTACTTGCCACCGCCCATCTCGACATCGTTACCAGCGGGCAGGGTCTTGGTCGTAACGCATTCGTGGTCGAAGGGCTCGGCGGCGCAGACTTTGAAGGCGTCGACAAGACGAGCGGTACCGCCGGCATCGGACTAACACCGTATTATTAGAGGGGATGTATCGCATGATGAGATATGAGATCGGCTTACGATGATGTAGTTCTTGTATCCCCACTCCTCGCGCAGGATCTCTTCCTGAAGGTGGTGGTCCGCAATGGTAGGAACTCCATCGTAGGAGTTGTAGGAGCTCATGACGGACCAGGCATCGGCATCGATAATGGCACGCTTGAAGGGGGGAAGATATGTGGTGCGAAGCTCCCTCTGGCCTCCGTGCACAGGAGCCGTGTTGACACCTTGCTCGGGGGTGGCGAAAGCAGCAAAGTGCTTGACCATGGCACACACTTTCTCTTCCTGGAGACCCTTGACATAGGCGTAGCCGTACTCGCCAGCCCTGGAATACTGTCAGCCAGACTCTCATGTAAAAGTCATAGGGGAGCCGTACAGGTAGGGATCCTCAGTGTAGCACTCCTCGACACGACCGAAGCGCATCTCACGGGCCAGATCAACAACGGGCGCGAAGATCTGGTTGACGCCTAGAGCGCGCGACTCGACGCCAATGACGCGTCCCATCTTCTCAATGAGCTCGGGGTTGAAGGCGCAACCGTGAGCGATTGGGGAGTTGAAGATGGTGGCATTGATCGCGAGGAAGCCGTGAATACCCTCGCTCTGGATGAAGGCAGGAATGCCTAGATGAGTCAGTACGCTTGAATTGGCTTTTGTATTGAGGTCAGGGGGGGCATACCCAGCCTCGTCTCATTGACGAGGTAGTCTTGGGCGAGCTTGGCTCCACGGCTGACCATGGTACGGTTCATGAAGAGACCGGTCCAGATAGAGTTGGCGCGCTTGGTGGCGATCCACTCCATGGCGGTCTCGTTGTAGCGACCATCGGTAATGTTGAGGTAGTCGCGAATATCACCCTGGATGAGCTGGGCGGTCTTCTCCTCGACAGTCATGCGCTTGAGGAGGTCGGAGACTCGGTCATCGACATCGGCGTTCGGGTTCTTGTAGACGGGAACACACGATGAGTTCTGGGCCTGAGCAGCCACCATGAGGAGCGAAGCTCCGGTAGCGAAGGTGAACTTCATGATGGAAGGTACAAACGTCGCAGAGACACGGAGACGGGGAAGGGCGTGAACGACAATGACGCTTCTCGTTCTCGAACAAAAAAAATCTCGAGGGACCAACGCGGGAAAGGGGGGGTATTAATATGTCAGTCTTTTGTGCCTTATTACTACCCAAGACCTTGACTTCCTCGTGGTCTGCGGCCAAGGATAGCATCCAGAAATGACTTCATTCCGGTAAAAAAGGCTGCTGCCGCTGACAACGGTAAACCTACTCCGCATCGATCTTCAACGACCTCGTGAAGGTAGATCTGGGGTGGACATCACAAGGGCTCAAGGGTGCTGGTCTAGGGATCAAGGAGCAGTATCGGTGCAGAGAGCTGCGGCCTTGGGTCATCGCCATTGGACGGGGTAGCACAGCCCCTGGCAGTTCCTGCGCGAGTCGAGGGGCGTGCTGATCGTATGAGGAGAACAGGGCCGTTGTTGCATGGCTTTGGTGCAGTAGCCCGATGTGGCCTGTGGCCTGTTCCTAGTCTTGAGCGTGTTTTTGATGAGGGGAAGTTGGAGTTGGGATGGGCGTGGTAGGTTGACTTTCGATGGTGGTCGGTGCCCTCTGCGAAGCATCCAAAGCAGGAGCCGAGATGGCAGTTGGAGAAGGTCCGGGGTACAGGGGTCTAGGCACCACCTGCCTCGCCTTACTCTCTTTCTCTTTCCCTGTACCCAACTCAGGAGCTACCTTTACCTAGCCTGCCTAGGTAGGTACAGGACCAGGAGTACTTACCTACAGTCGAACTTGTCGAATAGCCGGTGCTTGGCGGAGCCGGGAGTGGATCCGAGAAGGCCAGGATCCCACCAATGGTCAGAGAGCGGCAGAAGGTGGTCCGAGGCTCTGAGAACCGCTGGCCTGCCACTGGGCAATTCGCTCACTCTCTTTCTCCCCTCCCCTCCCCAAGCCAAGGGTCGGCAGATCACCAGTTGCCTGTCCTCCACATCTTCCATCCTCCACTCTTATCCTGTTCATCCCTTCGTGCCCCTGTCAATTCCTTCCATCGTGGCCAGGCATCAGAGCCATCCATGCCATCTCCTGTATAGCCCTGGTCTCCCACAAATGACCACGAGGACGGTTCAAACCCGATACCCGACGCTTCAAGGTTGTCGGCAGGCCGCAGAGGGAGGGGGCCGGGAGCCCATGGCCTCCTTTCCTTTCTTACCCTCTCCGCACAATCCCGCCGTTGATGGCGGGGTGGGTTCCTCGAATTCAGACCTACACACTCGCTCGGATTTTGCCCATCCATCACCTGGCGCTGGCCACTGCCACCAGTGGTTTTCTGATCTCTTCTCGTCACATATGGCACATCATGAACTGTCGGAGTCGAAGATGTTGCTGACTGATCCTCACTAACACGCGTACAATTGACTGCCATATCCATAGAGCAGCTAGCAATCGCTGACGCTCGCGATACGCGTAGGAGCTCCGCTTGCAGATCCGAGCAAGCCAAGGACGCCTCCCCGCCCTCCTCAACCGAACGACGCCCCTCCAACGAGCCGAAGCTTCCCCTCATCTGCCCTCCCCAGACACCTCTCGAACCCCGTTAAAGCCGCCTGGCTGCACCGGCCCGCCCGCCGTGCCAATGGAACCCGAGGGTTTCTCCAGTGACCCCAAAGCATCTTACCTCACATGATTCGCACAACTTGGTCCGTCTCCGTCGGTCTAAGCTTCGCTGCAAAGCGGGTACGGCGGGATTGCTTGACCCCAATTCGCCAACCGCACCGGGCTATCACCGGAGGCCACAATGTCAGCCTCGACTCAACCAAGTGTCCAAGCCGACGCCAGCGATGCTCATTTTCCATTTTCCTTTCCTCCGCCTTGGACAAGGCCTACAAGAGACAACTCACACTCGTCTCGTCTGTCTGTCCTCGTCCCTTGAACCAAAGTTGCTTCACCAGTGCCCGTCTGTCCGTCCTGGAATTGACAGGATTGTGACCTGACCTGAGACCGACTGAGCCAAAACCCCCCGTCTGTCAACTCACGATCCATTGTCCGCCTACATTTCAACATTGCCCATCATGCCTCGCTTCAGGGATGGTATGTGGCTGCCAGCCGAGAATATGTGGGTTGAGCACGCCGAGCAGGTTTACTACACCAACGAAAAGCCTGATGGCAAGGGCCTCAACCTGTTGTGTCCGACTAAGACCATTGAGAGCCGCGGCCACACGTTGAACAGGAGCACAATCACCATGGTAAGCATCGTGCCAATCGCATATCAATTTTGCCGTGCGTTTGCTGATTGTGGCGCAGGATGTCAATGCCGAGGCGGATGGAATCATCTCTGTCGAAGCGACTCACTGGGCTGGTGCCCAGATCAAGGGACCTCATTTTGAGCTATTTCCCCAGGGAAGACCGGAGGTCACGGCAGCCATTTCCACGAGCGACAAGGGCACAACGTTAACTTCCGGTTCGCTGGCTGTAACGGTCGACCCGAGCAACTTTGACATCCGCTTCCACAGCGCCGACGGCTCTAAGCGGCTCACGTCCCTGCAGGCCCGTAGCGTGGGCCTGGCATACAGCCCCGCGCCAAGCAACCCCATGCAGACAGGGGATATGCGAGACTTCAAGCACTACATGTTCACTCAGACCTCACTGGCTGTCGGCGAGACCGTCCATGGCCTGGGCGAGAGGTTTGGTGCATACAACAAGGTTGGCCAGTCAATCTCCCTGTGGAACGCCGATGGTGGTACTTCTAGCGATCAGGCCTACAAGAACGTCTCTTTCTGGCTTAGCTCAAAGGGCTATGGTATCTTCATCGACACCCCTGCGAGGGTCGATCTGGAAATCGGAAGCGAGAGGGCACTCGCGTGCAGACCGCCATTGAGGGACAGAGGCTAAAGTGGTACATCATCTACGGCCCTACCCCTAAAGAGGTCCTCCAAAGGTACTCCACTCTGACAGGTCGCCCCGGCAAGGTGCCCAACTGGAGCTACGGACTCTGGTTGACCACCAGCTTCACCACCAACTATGACCAGGACACCGTCAAGTCCTTCCTGGAAGGCATGAAGGAGCGCGGCTCGCCAGTTGATGTGTTTCACTACGACTGCTTCTGGATGAAAGCCTTCACATGGACTGACTTTGTCTTTGACTCGGAGAGGTTCCCCGACCCCAAGGGACAGATTGCCCAGCTCAAGGAGTCTGGTCTTTGCAAGAAGGTCTGTGTCTGGATCAACCCTTATATTGCGCAATACGGAGCCGCCTTCAGCGAAGCTGCTGAGAAGGGCTACCTTGTCAAACGCAAGAACGGCGATGTCTGGCAGTGGGACCTGTGGCAGGCCGGTATGGGCCTGGTAGATTTCACAAACCCCGAGGCTGTCACATGGTATGTTGAGAAGCTCAACGGCCTCTTCGACCAGGGCGTCGACTGTATCAAGACGGACTTTGGCGAGCGCATCCCGACGCTGGACGTCGAATGGCATGACAAGACCGTTGACCCACACAAGATGCACAACTACTACGCTTTCATATACAACAAGATTGTCTACGAGGCTCTCCAGGCAAGATACGGCGAAAACCAGGCCGTCCTGTACGCCCGGACAGCTTGCGCCGGTGCGCAGCGCTTCCCTCTCCAATGGGGCGGCGACTGCGAGTCCACCCCAGAGGCCATGGCGGAGTCCGTCCGCGGCGGTCTCGGACTCGGTCTCAGCGGCTTCTCCTTCTGGAGCTGTGACATTGGCGGCTTCGAGGGCAAGCCGCCCGCGTGGATCTACAAGCGCTGGGTGGCCATGGGTCTCCTCTGCAGCCACAGTCGCCTGCACGGCAGCAGCTCGTACCGTGTGCCTTGGGTGATGGATGAAGACGACCAGTCAGAAGAAGGCTGCTCTCGAACGTTGGCCAAGTGGACCGCACTCAAGGGCCGTCTCATGCCCTACCTCTTCGCCGAGGCACAGACTTCCGTTGCGCAGGGCCTGCCCTTGTCGCTGCGTGCCATGTGCATCGAGTTTCCCGACGACCCGACCAGCTGGTACCTCGACCGCCAATTCATGGTGGGTCCCAGCATACTGGCGGCACCCATCTTTGAGGAATCGGGTGAAGTCGAATTCTACCTGCCCAAGGGCAAGTGGACGTCGTACTTTACGGGAGAGACCCGCGATGGCCCCGGCTGGTTCACCGAGACGCACGGCTTTGGCACTTTACCTCTATACGTGCGTGAAAATACGGTCCTTGTGCTCGGCAGCGAGAAGGCCATTGGTGCCGTGTACGATTACACGGAGGACGTCGAGGTGCGACTATACGGTGCGCAGGAGGGTGCCAAGGCGTCGCTCGTGGACAATGACGGTAACGAGGTCGGCATCCTCGAGGTGGGGGCTGATGGCGAGGTCAAGGATACTTCAGCGCTGAAGGGCGAATTCACAGTAAAGAAGGTATGAGGATTTGCGTGGGTGGGACTTTGGCTCGAACGGCAGTGGTGTGTAGAGATGGACGTTGCTGCATGATGCATCTTTGTGGTTAGACTTATACCTGGGTGCGACTTTTGCTATTTCTCTTTCCCATCATTGATTGAATGAAGATGCATTTTTGAATCGTCTCTTGCATTCTCAGACTCTCACCTGGCATATTGTATGCATCCAGTGACGATGCGCTGCATAAACAGACCGTGGTGGGGATGTGGTGTCTCATGGTGAGGGCCGCCGTAGAGGTAAAGGGTAAAACACATTCAGCCTGCACTCGGCCGGCACTCGGCCGCCAGCATTTCGGGTGCTGTCATCCATTCGGCGACGACTGGAAAAAGACACTTTGTCAGTTTGCGCAACGGACAAAAAGATGAATTGCCACCATCGCGATTCGAACGCGAGCCTCTCTCGAGATCTGGTTATGATACCCCTTGGGGGCACAAGATTGCGCTAGTTATGCTAGCGCTCAGTATCTTGAATCAGACGCCTTAACCACTCGGCCATAGTGGCTGGTTTGTTGAAATCCGACTTCCAAACAAAAGTCATATCGGCTTTGCATCAGGCCAGATCATTGGAACACCTCTACAAGTCGTTTACCATGCAGGGCACTACGATGGTGCATCCTCTACCACACTTCACGGGGTACTCGTCCTCAAACAGTACTATACCTCATGATTATTTTTCATGACATTTGCAACACTGTTGCTTGCGCTGTCGCTGTAGGTTTTCGGGCTGCCACGTGGGCTCCGTACAGGTCGGGGACGGGCGTTAGACTAGCGGACGCTTTGCGTGGTGATGGATGTGCAGGGTGCGAGACTCGGGGCCCGTCTGCAGCCCTGCCTTTTTTTCTTCTTTTTTTTTTCGCTGATGATACTCTGATCGCGCCTGCCGACAAGCTTCGCGGTCGATGCGATTTGAGAACTGAGGAGGTAGGTGATCCCTGGGTTTTCCAACAGAGACTGTTAGCTGACTCGTTCGTCCGTCCATTCCGCTACCTGCCGGAGACGTGACGGCAGCCTCCAACTCCTAGCACGCGGCTACCCCCGTCAGCAAACGGAATACGAATTGTTTTTTCCACAGTTGGTTCCATTGGAATATCTCATGGAGAGAATGGCGCTCACCAGTAAAAGTACGAAAGACGCCAGATGCTCTGACAGCCAACATTGATTAAACTCGCTCGCTATCAGAAAAAGAAGCCGCCCACCCCGAATGCGCCATGCTCTCATGCAACACCGACTTTGCCCAAACGCACCAGCGCTCAGCCGAGGCGTCACTGACAGGCAGCAACAGCGACTACCAAGGCCGCAAGAAGGACGCTCTTCACTCCGGCCGAGTGAACTCGAGGCGTCGCAGCCGAGAGGGTACTGGCGGTCAGGCCGGAGTAATATTCGTCGCCCAGCTCATTATCCATACACGCTGATAAGTTCCTAAAGTACGACCCTTTGGATTCATCTTTGAACTCCTCCAACCACTCGTCGAGCAGCTCGCACCAGACGACGCAGCTATTGAGGCCAGACCGGTGAATGAACGACGACGGACAGCACTTGTGCAGAGCGTAGAGTGTTTCGTTTGTGTAGACGGTTGAGACCCACTTGACGCCAGAAGGGACGCCCGGGGATTGCACATCAATGATGGCACTGGTGTTGACGCATGATGACATTGCAGATATCTGGGTGGCGTGCTACGCCGCTGAATTCTCCGATCAGGAAATAAATGGCGGTGTGGCTCAAATGTGGCCTTGGGGACTGTTTGGCGATAGGATCTCTATTGGCTGCGTTTGGGTAGACGGGATGGGTGAAAGTCTTCTTCTGGCTTCGATTGATGGTCGTTCGAGTCGACTCACTCTAGACGATTGACTGCCTGACATATATAGACATGCTGATAGATTTATGGCACGCCACGAGCTCTTGCTTTGTTGTGTTTCACAAACTCGCTACGTCATCGAGGTTATAAGGCTGCATTCACATGGTCGCGATGCTGTATTTGGAGGTCAAAAGCCAGGGGTGTGCCAAGTTTACCGCCCAGATGACGAGCCTTCACCGCTCGAAAAGGAAAATCGTTACAATCCTTCGAACAAATCCTCCATGGAGCCAGTCCGAAGTAAGAAGCCTTCGCGGTCGATCAGGGGCACAGACGAGCCTTTTTCAGGACGATCAATCCGGGGGATTTAGCTCACAATCAACGTTGGGGTTTGGGTGCGCTCTCTGGCTTTCCTGCTCACGACGTCATGGCCCGATTCCGTGCCTCTCCAATAATCACTGCGCCGCTTGAAATGGGCGCGAAGAGGACCATGCCACACAGGCAGAATGATATTATTACGTACATCAAATTTCGTCTCGAAGACCACATGTTTTGTTCGAGGGTAAATTCAACCTCATATATTATGGATTGTCCGATCTATGTCTGACGTGGTCGTGGGTCGAGGGAGCTAGAGAAAGGCCAGACTTCCGACGACCCGAGATCTTATCGACAAATACAAGTGTGCAGGTCCGACCTCATGTCACAACCAGACCGATTCGAAATGAAGGCTGGCCGGGGCGCTAATGGCGATACCCCGGCAAGGCGATACGCGTATACATGACACGAACCGCGATGTGCTCCTGGAGAGGACTCTCATGCTATAAATGTGAACGTCACCTCGAAGATTCACAAATTGCAAGAGCTGTAATAGATGTCGATTGCTGAACCAGCCGAAACGATAAGTGAGCAAGGCCTGGGGCGACAGCGGATAATGCTGCCGGGATCATGAACACATTCATTCTCCTCATGAATACTCCAACATGCAGGCGATCTGAATAGGACGGGACGCGAGGTCCAAACAACTGCAGGCGGGGTGCCGCAGTGCTGTATGGTCCTCGCAAGCTTTGCCCCTGAAGCAGGATTTGGAGAAGCCGAACCCACCCACTATGCGGCCGGCCAGGTACCCAGCCACCAGCGCAGTACGACCCTACCTACACACCACCAGCACTATGCGCTCGACGAAACTGGCGATGGAGGTCTCCTTCCGGCGGTGCAGTCAACATGCAAAGACGGAGATGAAGGAGGCAGTCTTGGCTGCACTGCTTGCCCTGACGACGAGGAAAAACCACACCCTCGGATGGTTTCTTGGGTGCATGCGAATGCTAAGTCTCATCATCCAGGGCGCCCTGGACGCTTGTTGGGCTGTGGGCCGGAGACGGGACTGCGGGAGCGATCTCGCTAAGATAGAGTAGTTTACACCCACTTCAGATGAGACGAGGAGCACCCGACCGCCTGCGAGGATATCTATTGGACTTGAATGTTTCGCCAACTCTGCGTATCTCAGATCGGCAGGCTCATGATACGCGGGCTGGTTGCAGTCTTGGTGTTCCTCTGGTGCTGTGCATTCTTCGTCCCAGCTGGCCGGACGTCAGAGTCGGCTATCTGAACTTGGCCGATCCATTCACACACTTGGGGCACGGGATGGGAGGAGGGGTGAGAAGAGGAGGAGCAAATATCAACCGACCGACTCGAGACTTTGCCCCAAGCTTTGAGCTGCAGCGGGTGACCAGCCCACACCGAAGCGCCTTTTGCATATCCATTTTACGCATACTGTTCCAGCAAGCCTGATCCAGATTCAGGCATTCGTAACGTTCAACAGAGCTGCCTGAAAGCCAGACACAATGTCTTAAGCACATGTCCATGTATCTGGGAACGAACTGGCAAACCGGTAAGAACGCGTATTCATTCAAGTCTGTCAGTTACGACTCATCTCTCTGTTTCACTTACACATGCCCCTGGAATACGGACATTCATCCTTGCTGACCACCCTCTGCACAGGTGCTGTATCTCTCTCTTTTACCTGATCATTGCGCGGCAACCATGGAGGCTGTTGACGAGACGCTGGATGCAGCTATGTCCTGGCAGTTGCTATCTATGGCGGAGCCAGGACTCCACCAGAGCGTCGTCATGAGAAAAGCGCTCTCCAGGGCAGCCAGTGGATTTGGCAACCGCGAAGCCATCATGCAGACTGTCCCCGTGCATAGTCCCACCTGAGTCATCTGGGCGACTGTTGTCAGCATCAGTCACTTCTGCGACGGCTACCGGCTTGCACTGATGGAACCATCGGCAAATTGTTAAGACCCAATCTGTGCTGTGCACCCAGGTTCTGAATGTGAAGCATCGAATGGGGTCGGTTCGGACTGTTGCCGTTATAACCGTGCCACGCCCCTACTGGACCCCGAATCGGCCTGGCCTTCTCACGCCTTAAAATATAGAGCGACGACTAATTCCAGGAGAAACCAAATGTGATGACGTAGCTGCTAGGCTTCGAGAAAGCCTCATCGATTAGCCGTGCATAGTCTAGACATCAATCATTCTCATTATATCATTATATCAGGTCGGCCCACTAGATCAGCTCGTCAGCGTTAATCAATTCATCTGGGGCAATGCAAGTCTTCTTACTGTATCTGGAGTGTTCGTGATCTCCTCGAATGACTGAAGAATTTCGAAGCCCATGGCAACAACATGTTCGTAGGCAGCATCCTGAACCTGGAAACGTATTAGAAAAAATACGCAAAGTGTTTTTTTGTCTTTTTTTCTTTTTTAAAAAAAGATGACTCACCCAACTCAACACCGTCTTGGCCGACTTGTGCGCCTTGTTTTGTCGTGTGCCCATCAGCACCAGCCCCTGTAACACCAGAACGTCCTGGGATGTCGGTGGCACGACGGGCGCCAGCACCCCGCCGATGCCTTCTCCACGGCATGGCATCAATGGCGGGACATAAGTTGCCAGCGGGCTCCCAGGGCTGCAAATTATAATCGTACCAAGCAAAGTATCATCTGCCTTCTTGGCTCGGACGATGCCACAAGCTTTTGTCTCCTGAAGGGCACACCTATACAGCTCTAACACCTCAGCAGTTGCGTGCTGGCTGACATGAGAAAGAACCCGTTCGGCATCACCATTGTCGAGACCATGTATCAGATCGAAGCTGATGCTCGCCCGTTGAATCCCTTGCAAGAGACCTTCAGGAACGGTCCAGGTGCTCAAATCGTCGATGACAAGATTCGTGAGGCGTTTTGGAAATTGAATGTCCCAACCGTTGTTTGCGAACCAGGAAGCGGCGATGCCCTCCCCAATGGGGATGCCGAGAAATATGCCTGGGAAACAGGTACCAAGCTGGACCTTCTTGATGCTTCGCTTCTTGGTGAGGTGTCGAATGGCTCTTCGGTGCAGAGACCGTCCCACGGAATGATTTCTCTTGGAGGGGTCCACGAATATGGCGCCGAGGATGCCTGTCCTGTCAATGGCATACGTGGCAGCGAAACCGTACAAAGCGTTTGTACTGCTGTTCCGGACGACGAAGTGCGTCTCGTCGATCTTCGGATTGAAGAGCTCAAACGATGCTGCAGTAGCAGTTCCTAGGCAACCGAGATCGGCCGAGTTCGCTCGTGCGGTGGCTTTGATGAGCTCATGAAGGCCATCGGCGTCTCGCTCTCGGTCGTACTCCTCCACAATCCAATTTTGACGAGACTTCAGAACCTTCTTGCTCTTCCTCAGTGTTCCTGGCAAGCTGCCTTTTGGTACAAAGTCTCCACACAGGGCTCGCACCAAGGCATTTAGGGCGTTCTCGGTGAAATCGAAAGTGCAGATGTAGGTGCCAATGGTCTTGTCTAGAGCAAAGTCGTACGGGGAGCTGACAGCAACGACCATGACAGATTTCTTCTGTCCTCTTGATCGCAGCATTGAGCACATCATCTCGACATGCTTGGTGAACCCGCTTTGGTAGAGGTTTCGATTTGCATCTGCTGTCACAATAATGATTGTTGATGCTCGATGAATTAGATTCTCATGGACTAGCATCGTATCAGTATGTGATTGACGACCCTTGGGGAGGAAATTTGAATACCTGGTCGAACCCCATTTGCTGTGTAGCTTGTATGGAGGAGTTTGCCGTGCCTGGCCCGAGCCAGCGATCGGCCGAAGTCTCTGAAGACTCCTTCGCCGCTCATAATCGAACCTCTGTCTCTATGTGCCCATTTCTCGTGGATATGTGGTGCTCCGCTTTGGTCTCCTTTCGACTGCAACAGGCTTTTCGTTAGCGAGGATGCAGGCGACGGTTTGACCAGGGGCGTCAGCAGCAAAAGTTCTTCATCGGGATCCATGGACCTCGAGAGTGGAATGAGTTGATCCTTGTCTCGAATGACGGTAATCGAGTCATCGTACGCCTTTGTGGACAGGGCCAAATGTGAAGGCCGGAGCTTTGATAACAGCGATACGCCTGGCGGGTTGAGTGCTGTCTGCCACGAGGTGCATGTTGACTTGAGCTTGACTACCCGATTCAGCGATGTCATAACCCTTCCTCTGGTGATGATGCCGTTCTCAAGGCCTAATTTCAGGCCTCGGATGGCCTCAAGCTGAACATCGTATGCGCGGCATAGCAGAACGAGATCGCACCCAGCCTCGACAGCCATCACTACTCCATTCTGAACGCCTATGTCGTGGCTCAGGGCCTGCATCTCGAGGCACTCCGATATGGCGACGCCGTCAAATCCCAGCTCGTTCCTGAGCAGGTCATCGACGACTTGGTCCGACAGACAAGCGTGAGCGATGTTCATGGAGGGATTAGAAATGCCGCATCCGCCGACGAACATGGCATCGAGTTTCCCCGTTGCGATGGCGTTTCGGAAAGGAACGATAGCGCTCAGGCTAAGTTCCTCGAGTGTCTGCGTGATCATAGGGATATCGAGGCTGGAACCCAGAAAGTCCAAGTTGCCGTATGACGGGAAATGCTTGCCGCAGCAGGCTAGCCCAGCATCTCTGATGCCGTTCATTGCTGCAATGCCATACTGCGAGACCTCCTGTGGGTCATCGCCCGTGGCACGGACGCCAAGAGGCTGATATCTGGCATTAGAGAGGACGTCAAGAACGGGGCCAAGCATCATGTTCACGCCACAGGCTCCGACGGCGGATGCCGTGCCTTATTGACCTCGTAAGCCAATTCGGCCCGGCCGTGGCGGCGATGCCCATGGCACTGGGGAACTGGCAGACGTAATCTTCATCAAAGAGACTATTGACGCCACCATTTTCCTGGTCTACAGCGATCAGCAGTGGCTGTGGGTGGTTCGCTTTGTGAGCGATAGTCTGGAGCTCCTGTACGAGCTTGGCTGTCTGGTGGGCAGCTGGTCACTTTTAGCAATCAGATTCCAGTGGAAACAGGCAAAGGATCCGAGAGACGTTGGACTTACACTTGAGATTCTTAGCCGTTAGAAGGATGGATCCCAGATGATGCTCCTCGATCAAGGTGCGGATCTGTGGTGTGACTTCCGTGCCATCCCAGCCCATAATGAGCATCTGCCCAATGGCCCTTCATGTGACAAAGTCAGTCATGCGCACCGTTACAAACACTCCGTGTCCAGCTTCACCAGACCAGAGGAGCCGCTGACATACCAATCGAGGTCCTCCCATATCGGATCGAGCTTGATGTCGACCTTGCTTGCCTTGGACGCCATGGCTGCTATCGGCTTCTGAGATAGCCCCGTGCGGCGCGTGTGCCCATTGAGCTTGGAGGTATCCAGAGGCCACAGTTCGCGGCGATGAGCCTTGTCGGAGCTGCGGCGTTTGGTTCGCTCTGGACCAGTGGTCGCTGACTCCCGCTTGTCGTTTGAGATGGATTGGGCCATGAGCGGCTGTGGTCGAGGCGCCATAGCCCCGTGCAACCTGCGGTGTAGCCCGGTGAGCCGGCTGAGCTTCGGCTGAGTCAGTGATTGGAGGACACACGAAGGGCCTCTCTGATCAAGGAATGGGGCAAAAAGGTCTGTGCAGTCTGCACGAGAGGGGACCTGGAACGTGCGCTGTACACGACGTGCGGGCAGGGCAGGGTAATCTATCAGTGGGCGTGGGGAGCGTGGGGAGTAAACTCAGTGGTCGTGGACGCTGGAAGCTGGAGACAGGGGCGAGCCTTCGATAACAGCACCAATGTCCCTCGGCGCCCCAGTCAGATGTGCGACGTTACATGGTAGTGGGTTTCCCTCAACGACCGTACCAACACGTCCTGTCCCACTCAACCCACCTACCTGCTACCCTAGGCGGGCGACCATAGAAGCTTAATCAAGGGAGCCTTCTGAAGATGCAAGTGACTTGTTTTGTTGGACGTCACGTACCCGCCCACGTTGGCTTGAGGCTGGCTCCAGCAAGTCCACCCACGCCAACGGATCGTCACTCTGTCGAGACAGCCCTGTAACGCTTCCCGCGAACCGATCATGTCAAGGGTCCATTCTTGACCCCATCCAGCCATCCGCTAGCCTTCATTCTGTTCCTCCATGGTGTTCGACAAAGGATGGGTTCCACTCACACTGCACCCTCCAGTACCTGCGGACCCTTGGAGATATCGCCGTTCAGTGACCTTGGCGGTCGACCGACGGAACATGCGGGCCAACGCTGCCGTCTGCCGTGCCACCAAGGGGAGGCTACTGTGGCCACGAGTGTTGCCACGAGCCCGTCCAAGCTGTCACTCCATGGACCACAGATGACGGCATGCAACCCCACGCCCCTCCCGGTATCCGGCCTTGGGCACGTTGGAGACCACATTCCCTAGCCAGTGCAAGCCCATATCAGTAGCCGTCAGCCCTTATGCCGTCGTCTTTTCATGCATGTATGGAGTCAACACCAGAAAGCAGGCGGGCAAAACGGCCTTGACAACACCACCGAAGACGAAGCTCATAACCAACTAAGCATCAACATATCCAACACTATGCCTATCGCTCTCTCGCCGACGCGCTCCGAAAGCGGCATCACTAGGTTCACCAACTGCCGCCTGGTCAGGGGCGATGAGTTAGTGACAGAAGACCTCTGGGTGAGCTCTCAGACAGGCAAAGTCATTTCTAGCCAAGCCGCTTTCTTCGATGAGCTCACCGTCCCGGACAAGTCTATCGATCTGGGCGGACGCATCCTCTCACCCGGCTTGATCGATGTGCAGCTCAACGGTGGCTTTGGCTTCAACTTTTCTACGCTTCTCGAAGACGCAGCCCAATATGGCAAAAAGGTTCTGGAGGTGAACAAGAGGCTGGTGGCGACGGGAGTGACATCCTACGCGCCTACCCTTACATCGCAGAACCCTGAACTGTATCAGACGGTAAGAGCCGTTCAGTACTCTAGAAGAAGAACATGTCTAAGTGGTGTAGGTTCTCCCATATCTGGGGCCCTCCAACTCACGGCATCACGAGAATGGCGCAGAGTCGCTCGGCGCGCACTGTGAAGGACCGTTTCTCAACTCCTCCAAGAATGGCATCCACAACAAGGATGTGCTGCAGGTAGCAGAGACATTTGAAGACATCGAGGCCTGCTACGGCTTGTTCAACCTGGCCCCGTCGGGCGACGCGCCTCTGCCCATAAAGAAGATCACCATTGCCCCTGAACAAGGCCAGATGATGAAGTTCATCCCTGAACTGACGAAACGGGGCATCATCTGCTCTATTGGACACACAGAAGCCACGTACGAGGAGGCTTCTTCGGCAGTCGCGGCGGGAGCCACGATGATCACGCACCTCTTCAACGCGATGCGTCCGCTACACCACAGAAACCCGGGCGTCTTTGGCGTCCTTGGAGCCTCGCAGAGTCTCGAGAGGCCATACTTTGGTATTATTGCCGATGGTATCCATCTGCACCCGACCACAGTCAACATTGCGTTCAACACGCACCCAGATGGGTTCATTCTCGTCACGGATGCCATGCACATGATGGGCCTGCCTGATGGCGCCTATCAGTGGACGAATGGCGACGTGGAGAGCAGAATCATCAAGGTTGGGCCTACGCTACTTCTGGAGGGGACGGAAACGATTGCTGGAAGGTGAGTAGCACGTATTCTGTTGAGGCGACCGGACGGCTAATATGATGGAACAGTTCAATCACCCTCATCGAGTGCGTCAATAACTTCCTCAAGTGGTCCGGCACCACTATTCCCAAGGCATTGAAGTCAGTGACTTCGACCCCGGCGGCGATGCTGGAGGTGCAGGATACCAAAGGGTCGCTCGAGTCCGGGGCTGACGCTGACCTTGTCGTCTTCTCGGAAGAGAAGCAGGATGGGGCGACGCAACTCGTCATTGACGAGGTCTGGAAGTTCGGTACGTTGGTGTATCGTCGCGGAGGCTTGGGAGACCCAGTTTCTCCACTGTAGATGAACGGACGGCCGCTTGAAAGAGGGATTACTACACAGGAGTTAAACGCAAGAGATAAAGCAACAAGATTTAATGGGAAGGTTATTCTGGAATATCGTGGGATGATAAGAAGCCTGCCAAAAGAGGAATTTTACTGGGCATAGACTCAGCTAGCTTAGACAGGTTGGAGATAACCATGTGACGAAACAGTGTGGCTTGTACTGTCTCATATCCCACCTTTCAGGCTAATACAGGTGTAACCTAGTCTTCAGCAGAGTGGCGGAGAAGATCTCACTGCCATCGGGGCAACGGATGTTCATAATACTTTGCTGTGGAATGTCAGGCTTTCACACATGACATCGTGATGTTTATGAATCCAGTTGCCGCTGCACAGGATGTGGCGGTCGATTGGGGTAAATCGATCAACGACACAGTGCTAAGGGCGACTGTTCGGCTCTGAGACAGTGGTGTGATACCCCTGTGCATCCCCGCAAAGGCAACCCATTAGCGCCTTTTTACCCCCCCAAGGAGGCTCCAGTTGGACCCATTCTCGAAGCTACAGTGCGAACTGTACCGCTCTCTATCCAATCACAAGACCAGCCCTTATTGATAGGAATCGTCCGAGGACGGCAGGGCAAGGACTTTCCGGGGTTGAACCAGGCAGGTGGGCTGCCCTCCGCTGCTGGCCGCTGCGCTCTGTCGCTCTTTCCCCCAAGGCAGATTGTGTCCGAGAACCTAACGACAAGACCCTCGTTCCGGACTCAAGTGCCCTACCCAACGTCGCCGGCAGCCGAAAACGAACACCACAAGCTTGCTGACACGACCAAGACCTTGACAAGACAATATACGGACTCCCGGCGTCATCTCTGAGACGACCTGTCCATCGCCTCCGTCGGCCATCTCCCCCGCACCGGGCGTGCGCATCGCATCGCCGCTCGTGTCGCAAGTCGACCGAGCCATGCAATGGAGACATTCAACACAATGCCCCCACCGCTTGCCGTTGCGACCCCAGACGACAACATGAGCCTCGGGCCAGACTTCGTGGACGGACTTGACCCCTCCATCTTCGACGACTCGCTGATGTGCGTACTCTCTGACTGGGGAACACCCCTCCTCCCCCCTTGAACACTGAACACTGCTGATGATCCACGTTTTAGGGACAGCGTCCATGGCGCATTTCCTTCACTTCCATTCACGCCCACCTACGACTTTCAAGATTTCTCTGCCGGTTTCGACGACCCCTTTTCTTATTCTGCCCGGGCCTTACGAGGCTCAACCGCCGATTGAGGACCCGAACCAGGACTCCCCGACGCAAGAGCTGGACAACAAAGTTGCTTGGCTTCTTCGGCTACCGTGCCGAG